TAACAATTGTATTTTTGTAGCTAACCAAGGAATACCCAGAGATATTAATACCAGACAATATTTGGATAATCGGGATCGCCCAGGAGCCGTCTACTCGTGAATACTATTTAGTGTTCTACTACGATGTACATGCAATAGTAGACAGGTTCATACGACTTGACTATGAAGTTTATTACTTGCAATATGATGACTTTTATAAATTCAAAGAAATCGGATCTGATGGTCATGCAACATTTTATACTGCCAAATATAGAAGATATTTACAACAAGGGTTTGATGAAACTGTTGCACTCAAACGGTTTAAGCGTTTTGATGAAACGTATGAATTATTTATTTCCGAGGTAAGCTATAATTTAATATTAGTGTTAAAAATATATTAATATGTAATTTGACATGTATTTATTTTATTTCACAGTTTAAAAATCATGCCAAGTGTTCATTTTTTCAATTTTATCATTGTGTTTATGGAGTTACACAAGTCCCAGAAACGAACGAGTACATGATTGTTATGCAACATGCTAACCATGGTCTTTTGTCTTATTTGGATCAAAATATTAACAACTTGACATGGGAAACTAAATTATCCAATGTGTTGGAGATTGCAACCGATCTGTATTCTCTTCATAGTGTGGGAGTAATACATTGTAATATTCATTCTGGAAACATTGGTTTTTATAGAGGTACTCTAACGCTTTGTGATCTTAGCCTTTCTCGATCTGTGAAGTCAGACAAGTTAAATTCAACCATTCGAGGCGGTTTGCCCTTTATTGCACCGGAAGTCTTCCGTACTCGCAAATTTACGAAGGAATCGGACGTGTATTCTTTTGGTGTGATTATGTATCTGATGGCTACCGGTGAACTACCTTTTAGAAATAGGCAATTTGATAAAGATTTCTGGAATATTATGGGCAGACTACAGCTCTCGATGCCTGATTCTGCACCAGAGGAATACAAGAAAATTGCCAAATGGTGTTGTGATGCTGATCCTGATAAGCGTCCTGACGCATATACACTTGTCGTAGTTATTGAAAAGCTTTTTGAAGAACTTGACAGGGACAGCAACGCTTGGAATACTATTTATAACAATAATGTAAAAACCATTATCACGTCTGGAGAAGGAAAGTAAATACTCGAGCAAACTTTTACCTGCAGGAGATTTTTGCCGGAAACTAAGAAATAACTATGACTTAGATCAGCCGCAGGTATGGCGAAGGCGATTGTTACGTGTTGGTATTAAAAGTCAGTTACAATATTTACCTTGGTTAATTTTAGTGACTCAATACTTAAAGAAATACTTAAAGAAACAGCCGGTATACAATCTTATAATTAAACTGGAGTGAAAATAATTTTGGCTCTTCAGTAGTCTGCAATTGCGATAAGTCTGTCTGTTCTCTACCAATGGTTCAGTGTTCAAGGATAGCGATAATAATAAAAAGAATAAATACAGCAAATTAGAGTATTATTCAATAAAGTATATGCCTGTTGTTAAAAAAAGGAGGGGAAGGTTGTTGTTTTATATAATTGAATGTCTTATATTGATAATATTGAATCAAATATAGTTAGTTTTTTAGTTGCATAGCAATACTTAATTTGATAATTAACGTTTTGTTTGACGGTAAGAGAATCAAACGTTAGCAAAACTATAACGTTTAAAGAAGCTATTATTATTATAGCTTACATAAAGTAAAAACGTTCTTATTCAGATAAAATTTGAAATATACGTAATTGCTATATGTGTGTGTAGAAAAATTACACCCAAAGGCATAACATTGTACCAAGTCTGTTCTGAGACGAGTAGTGTCTATATGAAGATAAACATTTTGAAGAATAATTGTCGTGACGTATATTCACTTTTTCGGCGGGAAATAACATATAGTGATGGTCAAAGTTGGTAACATTATTCGCTTAAAACAAGTGAGTCTATTTGCACAATGAACACACATTATAATTATCGTCAAAAGCAAATTTTAATTGATGTGATAATATTTATCCAATAAAAGTAAGTAGGATAAAAACAGGCAAATTATTCTGTAACGCACATATGGCAAGTCCAATATAATATACTTATTAATATTCAATTGAGCGCGCAGCATTTGGGATGAGAGGCTATAGAAAAAGATACGACACGTAGCAAAACTCGTGAAGCGGTTGTGTGCTGTGCTATGTACGTTTGTTTCTATTCAATGCATAGAATAGAATAGCATCGAATTGAAAAGTTATTTAATTTATTTAAAACCAATAGTCTATAGTGTAGTATATAAAATCGGACCCAACCAAACAAAGTATATGGTTGACTATTTATGAAATACTGTTAAATATGCTTAACCAATAATTATCAAAAGCGTATGAAAAAAAGAGCACATGACTCGAAGAAGTAACGACGTTCGAATGGTTAAATAGTGTTAACATTAATGCAATTTAAACGCTGTCTAGATAATTGTACTACGCGCGGTCGACGCAGTCGGTAACTCATACGATACTCATAAATTAAGCTTGTCGAGCCAATATATTAAATATACAGACGCTAGGATTTAGATCTTTCAACAAAACTCTTTCGCGTAATTCCTACTTTGAACAAAGTTTACATGACGTTTAAACTACAATTTATACTCAAAATCTAATGTCGGTCTGGTATTGTATACATTTTTCACTTAACCTCGAGTATTACGTCAATTTTTTTTAGCGAAATTAGACTAAAAACCTCTCGATTGAGAGATATTTATACTATGAGCAAAATTAAACAATAATTCTGATACAAAAATTACCTGAGATTCGATAAATCTTAGGAACCGCTGACAATTTGTTCTCAAAACGCCGGCAATTATTTTTCTACAGAAAACACCATTTACGACAGAATAAATACTTACCGTAAACTCTCATGAATAAGGGCCCCCCTTCATTATATAAGGGGGCTTTTATTCATGGATGGGTTGATTGTAGATCATTTTGCATTGGTTTTAAGCCACCCATTGTCACGTAACAGTTGCCCGCGTTATTTTCGTTTATTACATAATTACGAGCTGTATATGGCGTTATTGGTTGATAATAAAGTGGGTGATGAGGGGGGTAGGAGTTAACCGTTTTCAAACCATTACAGATCTTATTACATGATCGTCACTTTCATATAGGAGGGGCCTTATTCATGGTGGGCTCTTATTCATGAGAGTTTACGGTATTCGTTAGGACTATTCTGGAACAAGAAACATTAGAATTGTAATCTAACAATAATGTTTTGCCAATAGTCTAAGTGCTCTTTTACACTCGCCTTATTTCTTGTGTCAGTAAATTTGGACATGAATGGAATTTGTTGTTGTGTAATCAAGAAATGGGCCGGTGGCACACATTCGTAATTTAATTCATTTTTCTTGACGCCCCTCAAGTTCCGCAGTTATTTACAGAGATTTGCGCCGCAGTCGTCCTCAGATCGGTTGTACTACAGGGCGTGAGCTGTTGTTTTGTCGCTGTACTAATTACACATTTATAATAAAAAATTAAGTAATTATAAGATAATGCTCTTGTACTCAGCAGACAAGAAGCGCAATTAATCTTAATATAGGCAGTTTAAAAGAGGTAAAGTGGTTAATACTGTCAAAATAATTAATAGGTAACTCACATAATGTATACATTAATTTGTCAAAATCTCTATATTATATATCAATACGGATTGTAAGTGGCAATAATTTTTGTACAAAAAAGTTTTTAAAAAAAGCTAGCTATTTATCAGTATAAACACTCGTATTCAATAGCAATAAGCATAACATATACCGTAATATAAAATTATATATTTATTTACAGTTGCTCCGCTATTCTACATAAATTTCCTTAAATATAAATGTAAAAATATCCGATTTTTATTTTGTTGACAAGTTCTATATATCGCGCAACTTAAAAAAGGTACGTTAATAGCTCAATCTTAACTATAAGTTTTTTGCTAGCTGATACGTTTTATTAATATTTCTCAAGCTCGAGATTACAATAATTGAAAATTATTTTGATTTTAGTAAAAAGTGCTAAAACATTACTCGTTTACTAACTTATTTTGTCCGCAGCTTAAATTTTTGTTGCTCAAAAATTCTAAATATCTAATTAGTGATAAATCCGATACAGATAAAAATAATAACCATATGGGTAGAATATTACCAGGTGCGTTTATTCTTAGAATACTCTAGGCCCTTACAAATTAATTTAATTCCCAGCCAGCATGTTTAAGGATATTCAAATATCAATCAATTGTAACTCGAATAACGACTAAAAGGAGGAAATACGACAACGGCATCCAATGACAAGACATTGCGATGGGACAAGCTAAAATATAAACAGGGTAAAACTGTCAGCAGAGCTGTCATTCAAAAACTCCGAGTCAAGTGCATCAAATCACTTACCCCTGCAACTCTCTGTAATTATCGAAACTATATATCAGATAGCCCGATTTTTAGATGTTAATTACAATTTATGATTAGCAAGATTAAAATGACGTACGTTCAGAGGTTTTTACACCCACCCATACCTAACAATACAATTAAACCTGTGTTGCAGTTTTTGTATTTCGAATTCCACAATTCGACATCGTTAGCAAAACCCGACATGCAAACATTATATTGTATACTAAGAGTATTACAGGCTCCTGTACACACAGCCAATAAATTTGCCAATTATTAATATACGTACAACAAAGCCCATTGAACAAATAAAAGGAAATAGAGAAACGATATTCATTTTTGTGTATCACTTTACAATACAGACGCAAAAATTCTTTCGTTTGTATTCTCCCCCTTAAAGTTATGCTTGAGTAACAAATATGTGTTTACAACGAAACCAATTATAGTAAAAAAACAAAAAAAACAAACTCTACTTAATAACGGCCCTTTTTTACGTTCAAAACTCTTGTCTACTTCGCCAATTCGTTAACCATGTCCTCTCTCAACGTCGATCTTATTAATTCGGCACTTTCTGCCATGATGGGATCTCACAAGTTCGTATCAGAAAAAGAATTTCGAGAGCAGACCAACTATGATGCTTCTTACGAGAAAGTCAACATGAACTCGTTCCATCAATTTAACCAAGTTGGTGATGTCGAATCCAGCGTCAAACGAAACATTCCGCCAGCGTTAGTAAAAACTGACAAAACATCCAAAAACTCAGCCAGACAAAGCATATGTCAGCAAGTCGACTTGGCCGCACTTCATCGGGTTAGCCTTGTCGGTGGTGATGTCGGTGACAATTTCGATTCCATCGTCAAGCGAAATGTTCCCACTGACCATAAATTCAAAGGTGGGCAGGTTTTTGTTAAAACACTTACTGGGAAAACATATACTCTCGAATGCGAAGCAAATGATACCGTAGACAATCTAAAACAAAAGATGGCAGACAAATCCGGTGTTCCGCCAGACCAACAGAGAATGATTTTTGCAGGGAAACAGTTGGAGGATGGTCGTACGCTCGCGAGCTGTAACATTCAAAAAGAGAGTACATTACATATGGTTCTACGTCTTCGCGGAGGTGGATGTGTGATCAGCTATTTACCTTTAGACGCTTTGGATCCAAAGTATGATTACGATTTTACAAATATTAAGGATATTGGAGTGACATATATGCGAGAAAAAGTTCGGTATCGAAGACCGTGTGGATGGCAACGCTTTGCTTTAAAGGTCTCTGGAAAATATGATAATGGTGATGATTCTTGGCTTGGTACTGGTGATAATGCTTGGCCAGTGTCTTATCATGGTACCGCAAAGCATAATGCAAAATCAATTTCCGAAGAAGGATATTTGTTGAGCAAGGGAAAGCGTTTTGCTTTTGGACGAGGTATTTATTCAACACCTGATGTCCGTGTAGCCGAGCGTTACGCAACGGAATTTAAGTTTGCCGGGAGGACGTACGTGATAGTGATTCAAAATCGGGTAAATCCAAAAAACTTGGTCAAGATTGAGGCAACAAGAACTGGAGTTGGCGAGTATTGGATTTCCAAGAATGGACAAGATGTAAGGCCGTATGGAATCTGCGTAAAAGAAGAGAGTGGATTATTTTTTATAACTAGGATAATCAGGTTCGCTTTATCAATTGTTATGTTTGCATTGATATGCCTGGTTATCTTATCATATGTATTCTGAAATGCAAGATTCACTTGCCCTTCCAAGATGTATGAAACTAATTCTGTTACGAATTGTATTAAGTATTTGGTTCAGAAGATAATTCACGATTTCTAACGTTAAATATAATAGTAAAACTCACAATACGAAAATCACCCCATAATCATGCTCAATTATACTAGTAAGGCTGTTTGAATTTACAATTTACAGGCTGACCTCTATTAGAAAATTATATTAGACTTGGGATAGCCTTAATATTAAGAGAATCTGTATCAGCATGTGAGAGATAATGCTGGTCTTATTACCACACAGTACCAATTCCTTTGATATAATATGTTAACATAAACGACTGACCTTTACAATGAAGATTACTTATACTCCTTGTATGGTTATGGTAAGATGAATATGTAGGTACTTACAATCTATTTATCTTCTGTATCTCCAGTTGCACCGGTTTCAGTGGTAGAGTGTAATGATGGGTTGACTTATAGATTAAAAAATGTATGAATCCTTGGTTAATTGTATTTCTTCTTATTATCTAATTGTTGTCATAAAAATAAAAATACTTATGTGTACATATTAATATACAAATGGTGTGAGTGAAGATCTGTAAATTCACGATTTATTGTCGAATAAAGGTAGTATCCTTGTTATTCACAATACTACTACTACAGCCATTCGTCTGTTAAGGGTATTCAAAACGAAGCAATCGACGAGTTGATTAAATCTCCTACGTAAATCAACATAATGAACTTAAGTGGATTCCTTGCTCGCAAGTCATCGAAATAAAGTCAAGTAAAATCGACGACATCTACTACGCT